TGCAGCGCGCCAGTCGGCGTCGCGCCCGCCAGCCCGGACGACGGGCGGCAGCAGCAAGGCTGCCGCCCGCGGCGGCAGCCAGACGCCCCGCATCGCACGCAGGCCACCCGGCCTGGGCCCTGCGCAGCAGCGTGCGGCCGCCACGCCCGCCCGGCGAACAGGGCGGCGCAGCGGGCCCATTCCGTCGCCGCCGCGCGCGTGGCCTGGCGGCGCCAGCGCGGCTGCGGCCGCGGGGGGGGGGGCCTGCGCCGAGCCCGTGGGGCCACGCCAGCGCTGCTGTGGTTCACCTTCAGGGCGGCTAACTCCACCTCGGCCAGCATCCGCTGCGCGATGCCCAGAGCGCGCAAGCGGTTGTCCCGCCCTGTGACCAATGCCGGCGGCGGGAGCCGCGCGCGTGCGGCAGCGCACGCGAGCCGATCAGCAGCCGCGTTGCCAAAGCGGTCGTCGTCGGCCATGCAGCGGGCCCGGGCGCTGGTCGCGTCGAGATGCCCTTTGATCCACTACCGCGCGACGAGGATGCCGTTCTGGCAGTCGGGGGCCAGCAGCTCCCAGAGCTCGGCGTGCACCCATTGCGCCGGGGACGCCCCCGACCAGAGCGCCGCGACTCCGTTGCTGACGAATCGGGAGTCGGTGATCATCTCCACGGGGCCCGCCGCGAGGCTCAGCGCATGCAGGGCGGCTGTCAGCTCAGCCCTCTGCGCCGTCTGGGGCCCGTCGACGGGCCCGCTGCTGTCCTGCGCGCCGTTAGGGCCCTCGAGTCGCACCCCTCAACCTGCTCTGGCCAAGAGCGGGTCCGTTGGCCGCTCACAGGCGTCGTCTGTCCAGGCGTGCCGCCGCGGCGGGCGCTGGTGCGGGTCGAGCTGAACGGCGGGCAAAGGCGGGGTCAGGATGGGCTCGCGCGCGCCCTCGGCCAGCGCGCACCGGGTCCTCCGGAAGGACACCCGTGCAAGCGGCTCTGGGCGGCTGGGCGGCGCGGAGGCCCTCCGGGCGAAACTCAGTGCCGCGCAGGGCAGCCGCCCTCGCCTCCTGCCAGCACGAGCGCCGCCAGAAACGGTGGTCTGGGTCCTCGTCGGCCGTCTGGCAGTGAGGGCACAGCGTCGGTTTGCCCCACTTTGCTGCTAATTACCGTTTGCGTGACGACGACGCCGCCGGCGAGCACCGTGCGCAGCGCGCCTGCCATCGGGAGCCTCGAGACGGGGGTCAGTGCAGACGGGGGTCAGCCAGGGCGCCGGATCCTGCAGGAGCTTGCGAAAACCCCCTTTGGCTGACCCGGGTTAACGAGCCGCTCGTGACCGCGAGGCGGCCGCGCCTATTGGCTGACCTGGGTTTGCGAAGACCTGCGTTGCAGTTTTTTTCTTGCGTTGCAGTTTTTGGTTTCCTGCTGACCCGGGTCTGGATTGACCCGGGTCAGAAGATCCCCGATGCCAGGTCTGGCGCGAGTTGGCCGTCCTCGAGCAGCCTGCGCGTAACCCAGCGGTCTACCCCGCTGGCGAGTTGCCCCATGTCGCCGCGGGGGGCGGCAACCTGCTCGGCGGGGCGCCAGCCCGCCGGCGTTGCCGGGACGCCCGTCCAGCACTCGACGTCGTGGCCAAGTCGCAGCTCCGCAAGGTTGCGCACTGCCGCCGCGATCGGCCCGTTCTGCCGCCCGTGCCCCGCCGCGATGGCGCCGGCTGCGCTGCGCCACAGCTGCGCTGGGAAACGGCCACGGCGGATCGCCCTCGCGATGTGCCAGAGCGGGGCCATGGTCGCCACGGCGGCCGGGTCGAGAAGCCAGCTGGGACTGAGCACATCGACTACAACCTCCGCGGCCGCCCGGAATCCGCTGCGACGGCACACCGCGTGCAAGGCAGCCGCGCGGAGCCCCCGCAGCTCACCTTCTGGCGGACGGTCGCACGCCGCGCCGTACAACCCGGCAGCCGTGCCCGCCGCCGCGCCCAGGAGGCACTTTTGGCCGAAGCTGACGGGCAGGCGAACGATGCGGGCAAAGCGGGTCCTTGCGTCAGCTAGCTGCCCCCTCGCCACGGCGCTGCGCCTGGCCTCGCCGGCGACGCCAACCACCCCGAGGTCCAGGATGGTGGTGCCGGCCGCCACCACCGGAGTCTGCGTGGCAAGCCATCGTCGCACCTCGCCGGTGTTGGCAATCTGCTGGCTTTTCCTCCGGTTGAGCTCCCAGCCCATCGCGGTCGCGAAGTCTAGCGTCACGGCTAGTGCGCCCTGCACGGCCTCTGCCGCTTCGCCCGCCTCCTCGGCCGGCGCGCGCATCCACAGCGTGAAATCGTCCACGTTGATGCGCTGGCGGAGCCTTGGCTCCAAGGCCCCAGCGCGCCGGTGCCATGGGAGCGTCATGACGCTGAGGAAGAACACGGCTAGGGCGTTCCCTGGGAGTATGCCAGAACTGGGCGCCCACGGCGAGCCGATTGCGCGCCCGACGCGAATCCGCCGGCGGGCACCGTAGGCGCTGAGAGCCGGCTTCACAAGCCAGTCGGGCAGCCCCGCCAGCCGCAGCAGGCCCGGCAGCGACGCTAAGTTCACCTGGTCGTATCCCTTGCACCCGTCGAGCGCGGCCCCCTGCCCTAGCGATTCACTCACACACGAGACCCTCGCTTGAGACAACCTCGCGATTTGCCCCCTTGCAGTCCGATGACCCGCTCGGATTGCCAACATGAAGTGCGGGTCCCACAGGGAGGAACCCCGCTCGAGACATCCCTGAAGGTTAGTACGGTCGTGTGTGAATGTGTATGGTGATGATGATGATGTTGCTGACGGTGGTAATGATGATGCAGACGATGATGATGGTGATGATGATGATGCTGCTGATGATGCTGATGAGTGGTGGTGATGACTGAGTGTGTGAGTTTGAGGGGGGTGCATGACGATGATGATGCTGATGACGATGATGGTGAGGAGGAGGAGGACGATATTGATGCTGCTGCTGATGATGATGACGAGGTGTTTGGGTGTTGGTGGACATGTTCTTGCGCGGGGTGTCCATGTGGGGAGCGGTGGTGATGATATTGATGCTGTTTATGATGGTGATGCTGGTGATGGTGATGTTAATGATGATGGTGATATGACTCGGATATATTGATGATGGTGGTGATGATTATGCTGCTACTGCTGATGATGTTGATGTTGACGACGCCGATGATGCTGATCATGATGATAATGAAGATGACGATGATGATGGTTATTATGATGATGCTGATGGTGACGATGATTGTTATGATGACGAGTATTGTGATGCGGATGATTGTGATGTTGCTGATGATGATTATGATGATTATGATTATGATGATAATGATGGTGCTGATCATGCTGGTGATGTTGATGATGATGCTGATGATGATAAGGAGGAGGAGGAGGATGATGACGATGATGATGAGGAGGATGAGGATGAGGATGAGGATGAGGATGATGATAATGGTTTCGGTGTGTTGTTGTATGAAGGAGGAAGAAAGAGGAGGATGAGGAGGAGGAGAAGTAGGGAGAGATCCTGCGGTGTGTGTGTGTGTGAAGAGAAACAAGAACCCCACATTGGATGTGGGAAACATTAGCCCCACTCAGGATGTGGGGAGCAAACGCATAATTGTCGTGTCTCGCTTGCCCTGCGCAAAATACATCTTGAAGTCCTTTGGGGACTCCCTTTGGGGACCCTCTCGAGGCCTCTTGGGTCATCTCCGGGTCAACTTGGACCATCGCCAGGAACTCCCCGAAGCCATCGAGGCGGTCTGGGAAGCGGAACAGGAGGGCCAGGAGGCCCGGGTGGTGCCCCAGAGGGAGGCCCGACAGGCCCAAGGGGCCCCTGGGGCTGTCTAAATTCTATTGAGGGGAGGGGGCGGTACCATTTTGGGATGACTTGTGACCCGTTGCCAGATAATCTAGATAAAAAGTATATGAGCGCACATACGGTCAGGAATTTCGGGCTCTGCCAGTTCTGGCCCACCGCGCTTCGGCGCGACACTCTATCCGCGTCCCCGTTTCCAAGCGCCATCGCCCCGAGCCTTTCCCAGCCCCCCGCCCCCTGTAGCGGAGCGACACGCCATCCGCTTGCAGAGCATAGCATGTCGCCAGAGCCACCGCGGCAACATGCTAAACGAAAGTTTCCGTGGAACCGAGACATAGACACGCTTACATATATATATATATATATATATACATATATATACGTATATACACACATACATACATACACGACATGCAGACAGACATACCTACACATAACATACAGATACACATACACACATATATATATGTATATATACATACATACATACAGACAGACAGACATACATACAGACAGACATACATACATACAAACATGCATGCATGCATGCATACACACATACATACATACATACATGCATGCATGCATGCATGCATGCACGCATGCATACATACATACATACATACAGACATACATACATACATCTGTACGTGTGAATGAATGTGGATATATATATGTATGTATTGATGTGTGTGTGTGTGTGCACATCTGCCCCCTACTCCTCCTTTTTGGTTCCCCCTCTGATAGGCAGACGGCCCTGCTTGTGTGCTCCCTTTCGAAGACTCTACGGCAACAGGGCTTCATGCATTGCACTGGCAGCGCAGTTTGGTCTTGTGCTCGCTGCGCTCATACCTTTTCTTGTCCACGCGCAAGGCCCCTGGCTTTCATTGGCCGCTTGGAGGTTCGGTCCATTGTCGCTGCGGTTTGAGCTGGTTCGAAATATGTGCCAGGAGCTGGCCATTAATCTAGGCCTCCCAGATGAGCCCAAGTAGATGGGGTCGGAGGATCGCGCCGCGATCGATGCGCCGATGCATCGCCGATGCGGCTCGATGTATGGCCCGATTTTCTACACGCCCATGGCGCCAATGCATCGCCGACGTCGCCGATGCATCGCCTATGCATCGGCGATCCTGCGCGATCCTCTGACCACATGTACTCGGACCCCATTTGAGAGGCTTCTAATCTGGAGGTTCGCTGATGGAGTCTGAGGGTGTAGGCAACTGTCCGAGTTTTCTGAGGACGTGCGCCTGGACAGGTGCGCGAGGCCGGAACACGGCACCGCATCGGCCTTGGGGGGGGCGTCTTCGTACCAGGTGCCCTCTTTCAGGTTGGAGGCGGGGTGCGCGGCTCCGAGCGAACACGGCGCGCGGACAGGGCCGCTCAAGAGGGCGGGCGGAAATGAAACGGCGGCGGATCCGCCAGCAGAAGCCAGCGGAAGGCGGCGGGTGAAAGAGCGAGACGGCAATTTTTGTGGGTCAGGGTTTCCGAAGTCGGCGACGTAACCTCGAGGGTAGGTGGCTGGGAGAGAAGGGATCAGCTACGGGTAAGAGTGACCCTCCGCCCCAAGGATCTTTCGAGCGCGGGTCTCGGGGAGGGCTTGGAGGCCAAGCCCAGGCACCCAGGTCATAACTGTGGCATCGCATGCATCGATCGGCAAGACGCGTGCCAGAAGTCGTTCTTGGCTGTAAACACTCCTGCGTATAGCCGAAAGGAGGAGGTGAAAGAGAACGGTTGGGGGGAGGGAGCAGTAGGATGGGATGGGGAGGAGAGGGATGGGGAGGATGTGAGGAGAATGAGGAGCAGGAGGAAGCGGGAGATGGGAGGGTGGGAGGTCGGGGAACGCGGAGGACCACGTGCAGTTGGGTGAGACTGCGGGCAAGGAGGCAAGTGAGGCAGGATGGCAAGCTGGAGGAGCAGTGGGGGAGGAGAGAGCGATGACGAGGAGCAGAAGGATGATGGAGGAGGAGTCGGATCGGATGTTTGCGGGCCCCGTGCCGCCATTTCGCTAGACGACACCACTGTTCGCGATCCCGCTCCGCTCATGGGCACCACAACGGGTTGCTCTTTTCGGTCCGACCGATCCGCTTCAACCTCGGTTCTGGCCAGCCCGGTCCAATTCGATTCCGGCATTCCGACGATTTGGTGTGCTCCGATTCTGGTTCCATCCCCGAGGCGGCCCGACTCGATGTTTGTTAAAAAACGGGCATGCCCCTCTACAGGGGGAATATTCAAGAATAGCCGAAACATAGTATGGGGACTATTTTTCTCAAGTAGTTTGGATCATTTGTTGAATATTTTTTGATTACGTTTCGCTCGTCCAAAATCCGCCTGTAGGGGGACACGCCCGACCTCATGTTTGTCTTGATCTGATCCGGTTGATCGATTCGTTTTTGGCCGCTCCTGCCATCCCCACCGCCGCCGACCCCCTCGCTGCGGACACTCCGTTTGTCGGTCAGCCTCCCAGTCAGGAGATCAGACATCAGGGACAGAGATGTCCCCGGTCTACCTCGCGGCGCCCCACAGAGACGCGGACCGCGCTTCATGTGACAGGCTCATTCCTTCTCCCTCCTCTCATCTGCCTCATCTCTTCCCCTTGGTGCTGACTCGATTTCTGGCGTAAGCCGTACCGCTCCTCTCTCGAATCCAGTCTCCCGCGCTGGGCAGAGTGACGAGTGTATCAGCAGTCTGGTCGTGGCGTCTTCCGAAAGCACATGAGAGGCTCCCAGGCCCCACGTGAGAGCAGGCGAGCGGGGGAAGAGGGAAGCTTGCTCTCCCTCCCGGTCTGCCTACTACCCTCGACCAAATAAATCTCAAGCGTGCATTACGCAACTTACTTGTAGAATTGATATTCTGTACATGGGTGACGTTGCGTGCGAAGTACTTGTTGGCGCCCCCTCTCCAATGTCTGTCATCGTGGCACTTCGAAATCGCTCCAAGTCAGACCGCGTTGCGGTCTGCTTCGGCACTAACTGGGGGGACATTGAAAGAGCGGCAGGGGGAGACATTGATGGTGCGCCTCGATCACTGTTGGGGTTGATTTTGTCAGGGGAAGGCTGCGCGGAACAATTGGCAAGCCATAAGAGGGAAGGCCGTACGATGGCGAGCAGATTGGCAAGGACTTGTTAACGGTTCGACACACACGCAACATTTACGTCATTGATTCTTCGCACGTTAGCTTGACCCGTAGTTGCTCGAATAGTAGCTGAGTTTGTAAACACAAAACACTCTTAACCACACTTGTTCGAACGACTACGGGCCCATCCTGTATAAAGAAACAACGCCGGACGCTCTTGGTGGCCGTAGTTGTTGTAATTTCACCATTGAAGCGCCCTTGGTGGCACTGCTGTATATTGAACATATAACATCCGCTTCTCGGGACGGCCCGCGTCGGCACGAGCGGCAGTCCAGGCCAGAAGCCCTTATCCGATATCCGACGTCCTATTGTGATATCGATGTGGAGAGACGAAGAGATCACGCGGGTCAAGCGGGACCGAGTCATGTGCTACGAATCCATTCGAAACGCCCAACCCTCAACAACATAAAAGCAAGCACGCGGTACGCAGCGTACTCGTAGAATTCATGTTCTGGGCAGGGGGGACGTTGCGTGCAAATTATTTGTTGGCGCCCCCTCTCCAATGTCTGTCATCGTGGAACTTCCCAATCTTGCCAGCCCAGACCGCGTTTCGGTGTGCTTCGGCATGGGCGGGGGGACGACACTGGAAGGGCAAACTGGGGGCGACACTGAAGGTGCGCGTCCACAATGTTTGATGTTAATTCTGTTTGGGTTTGTCGTTCAGTCGTACTCGTGTGAAGTACCCTCTGGTCTGAACGCATCAAACAAGATACTCGGGCTGCGCAGCCTGCCTGAAAAGGGTCATCATCATTGGGGGCCCGATTCCAATCCGGCACTCATGTTGTCGATGTGCCGACGCCCAAGATCTATTTATTATGCGCGCGAGACTAACAGTGCCGTCTGGAGGGTCTTGAGATGTCATCATCGTCGGGGTACCCATAGCACTGCAGGCATTGTTCGCCTCGGCATCTCTGCGGCATATTGCCTTTGTGCGCTGGTATAGAACCAGACGTTGAAATAGCGGAACAGTTGTGGTTCGGAAGGGGTTCGTTGTTTTTTAGGTTCTTTAAGGGTTGTTCCTCTAGTGTCCTTCGTGCCCCCATTCGCTCTTGGGGGATGTAAGGGGCCCCGGTCTTGATTATTGCGTTCCTTACGGGAGCGGCTTGATTCAACTTGGCCAGCAGCTGACCTTGCGAATCCCAATCAACTGATTTTCCTTCCTGATTCTGTTCCACCCTACCAGGTACTTCCATCTCCTCATCTTTTTGCCCAGAACTAGCCTGGAGGGAGAGAGAGAGAGAGTGAGAGAGAGAGAGAGAGGAACACACACACAAAGCCATACACATACACAACACAACACAACACACACAGAACACAATCACGATGGGGGCAACATACCGCGGGGCGCTAGTTCGGCGCCCTTTCGTCATCTCTGCCGACCTCTGCCCTGATAACGAGCTGATCTTCTGTTCTCCCGCCGTCAGCTGCTCGGCAGTACCCGTGGCCGAAGCAAGCGAGGCGCCGAGTGTCGAGCGACATTGGGCTCGTTGGCACTGGCGATCCCGCCCCTGTCCTGCATCTCCTCGCCGTAGCCGTTTTGGCTCAAGGTGGGCGTTTTGACCCCCGCGCGGCTGCCGCGGCCTCCGGTCTCCGAGGCCGTCGTGTCGCACAGCTCAGTGCAGGACGCCTCCAGGCGTAATACCGCCCGCCCCCTTTGGTCGGCGTCTCCCCAACATGCGTATACTGTGTGTGCAAGTTCTTCGACTTTGACACCCCCTGGTTCAGAGGCTTCGCCTCCTCCTGGCCTCGTTCTGAGGCTGCACCCCCGTTCTCCGTCCCCTTCTCTACGTAATTCAAGCTCTGCGCGGCCCACTTTGCTTCGACCGGAAGAGGTGCGCTCTCGACCCGCGAATCAAAAAGTGAGTCGCCCCCCCCAGGGGCGACGCGCGCACCGAGGAATCTTACAGTATAGGCGTCGTGGCGGTCGCTTTCTGGCCGCACCACTCGGGCAACGATCTGCTACAGGATGGGTATACCTATATGTTCAGGTCAGACGCGCGCCTCCAAGGTGGACATTTAGTAGCAGTATGTCTCTGTGCGTCCCATCTTGGAGCAGCGCCACCGTAAGGGCTGCCTGGTGTGCGGCCTGTTGATGGGCAGGAGCCGCCAGGAGCCTCCATCTTCCACACTCGGTTGCTGGTTTCTGTGGAGGAGGTGTGAGGCCGGACGGAAGGCTGAGTTCCCCGCGGGGGCTCGAAGAGTGTCTCGTTTCGCGCGTCGCGGTCTCGGCCAGAGCGGCTGCCCTTCTCCATGGGGGCGGCGCGAGAACGCGATGGCGAGAAAAGATAATCGCGCATCGCCGGGCGCGATGCGCGAAGTAAGGCCACTTAGAAAGGAGGGGGGTACGGTATCTGCAGCGTGCGGGTTCCTCGATGCGAGGCCGCCGCTGGCGCCTGGAAAGCTGCCTGCAGGCGGCGGGTTCGCTAACCCCCGTTTGTTATCCTCCGAGGTGGGAACTTCTTATTAATATATATATATATATATATATATATATATATATATATTCACCGCTTTGGGGATCGATCTTCGGGGACCTCGGCAGGCGGTGGATATGGATATCTGGTCCAGCGTCTTGGGCCCCCCCTCATGCTGATGCCATCGCCCCTCCCCCCCCGCGCGATGGCCCGCCCCCCCCTGTAGGTGTGGTGTGGTGCTGTGGGTGTGGCATGTGTAGCGTGGTACCGTGGTGCTCCAGGAGAGCTCCGGAGGTCGTCGTCGTCGCCGCCGCCGCCGTCGTCGGAGGATGAGGAGGGCTTCGGAGGTCGGCGCCGCCGCCGCCGCTCCCGCCGCCGCCGCCGTCTTTGTCGTCGTCGTCGTCTCCGTCGTCGTCGTCGTCGTCGTCGTCGTTGTCGTCGTCGCTGTCGTCGTCGTCGCCGTCGTCGTCGTCGCCGTCGTGGTCGTCGCCGTCGTCGTCGTCGTCGTCGCCGTCGCCGTCGTCGTCGTCGTCGCCGTCGTCGTCGTCGTCGTTGTCGTCGCCGCCCTCGTCGTCGTCGACGCCGTCGCCGTCGTCGTCGTCGTCGTCGTCGTAGTCGTCGACGTCGTCGCCGTCATCGTCGTCGTCGTCGTCACCCCCCATCCCATCGGGGGCGGGGGCGAGGGACCCTGAGACCCATCCTATCTGGGGGAGGGGGGGCCCGTGGGCCCGGAGCCCGGGATCATGTATTCGGCTTTCGTGGGGCCAAAATGTATCCATATCCACTGCCTGCTGGGGTCACAGGACGTGGGTTTCCCAGGCGGTTGACATGGATATATCCCCGCCTCGTATATCCCCCCCTTTCTTCGGATGCAGCTCTTGGGAGGTGGAACTCAGCATCGGCGCTGGTACATCAGTGGTGGAGGACCGGCCTAGTTCGGTTCAGCCCGATACAATTCCTGTCTATTCTCTGGACTCCGGCTTCAATCTGATGTCAGTCTGGGCTACTCCAGTTTGATGGCCCCTCAATCGGGCGCAGCACGTCTTGATCGCTCTGACAAAGGCCTCGCAGAAGGTGTTTCCCGGCATGTCGCCCGCACCGGTAGGATGCGTCGATGGTTGCCAGCACGCAGTGTGAGAGTGGCTGGGGCTGCCTTCAGACGTCCTCGCAAACTGGCGCAGACGCGGGAGGGGGCACAAGCAGGCAAACACCGCCTGAGACATCCCCGCAGTTTGAGCGCGAAGGGGCACGTGAGATGCCCCCTGGCGACCTTCCCCTCCTTCCCCCCTCGGGGTGCCAAAGTACAGCGCCTGCTATATCTCGCGGTGAGCAGTGGATCGCCAGGTGAGAAAGGCCTGGGGGGCAACCACAGGCACAGCGCTGGAACTATCCCCACAGGTCGGGCGCAAACGGCCCCGTGAAATGATGGGCCGATTTTCCACCACAACTACCATTTGTAGGACGGGGGGGAAGGGAGGATGGGGAGGTCCTCCTCCTCCTCCTCCTCCTCCTCCTCCTCCTCCTGCTCCTCCCACTTCTACCTGTGGTAGTGGTGGTGGAAAATCGGCCCAGAAGGAAATACCACCTGGGCGCCTCTTTCTCGGGGCGCCCACATGCAGCGCTTGCTGGATCGCGGTGATCAGTGTTCCACCGAGCGAGAAAAGCCTGGGGGCAGAGACAGGCAAACCGCGTGAGACATCTTCACAATCTGGGCGTGAACAGGTCCGTGAGACACCCCTCTGGTGGCTCCCCCTTGGTAGTGTTGAATTCAGCGCCTCGCATGGAACATCTCCACAGTGTTTTCCGCAAACAGGCGATGTTGCAGCCCGAAGCAGCCAACTCGCCTGAGACAGAGGTCTACTAAATCGCGGTGAACAGTGGACCGAGCGATTTTGAGTATGAGTGATTCTGAGTGTAAGTAAGTATGGGTGAGTCTGAGTATGAGTGAGTCTGAATGAGTCTGAATTGCATGGGTGTGCACGTGAGTGAGTCTGACTGTGAGTGATTCTGAGTGTGATGAGTGAGACGGTGTGAGGAACAGGAGGGATGAGAGTGAGTATAATATCAGTGGGCATGACTGTATCAGGACGAGGAGAAGAAGGGAGATTGGCTGGGAGTCGGCGTCGTCTAAGTAAATTGTACGTGCGAAGCAAGGAGGAAGAAGGAGGGAATGGGGAGTAGGAGGCGTCTGAGTAACAGCAATAATCCCATCTTAGGAGATGGGGGGCAACAATAACCCCACCTTGAGATATAGCAAAACAATGCCCCACGCGCGCTCTTGCGAATTCTTACGAAGGCCATCGGTGTTTTAGCATGTTTGCTGAGTGAGACACGCGGGCCTTTTGCGCGCGCATGTCGAAATCATTCGAACCCCCTTGCGCGTTTGCTGGGGGGGAAAGACCCCTGTCACATAATAAAATGTGAGCCACGCGCGCGCGGCGGCCGCGCGCGCATGTTCAACTTCTTTCAAAACCTTCGCCAGCGACACATGGACGTCATCATCGTCATCGGCGTGACCATCATCATTGCCGTCATTGGCCTTGCCGTTATTATCGTCATCGTCACCATCATCGCTACGTTTATCATCGCTTTCGCCGATGTTGACGTCATCATGATACTGCGCCCGCCCGAGTCACCGAGCCGCAGTGAAGTGCGTCCTCGTGCCACCGCGGCTTGTGAGGCGCGTTGGGAGGTCCCCATCGGTCAGCGCCAGTGCGGCCGCGCCAGTTGTGCCAAACTAGCAGGGCGTTTTGCGCGCGAGCCTGCGCGTTCTAGCGCTGCCGCAGAGATGCGCCCGTCAGTGCCAAGCAGTCATCGGAAACGCCGCCGCGTGGAATTTGCAAACCAAGTTGCGGGTGGGAGGGTGGGATGATTGCGCGAGCCTTGGAGTTGACAGTTCATGAGTTGGCACAAATCAGCTGCACCACATAGATTGTGCGCCATACACTGCTAGAGCCACACTGCTTTGGGTCCACGCTGTCCAGTTCTTTGTCAGAGATGAGAACTCAGCAACACAACAAGCAGAATCCGCAGGACAGAACGCCACTTCTGCCACGCACCCATGGGCAATGAATGACCGTTCGGTCCCCTCACTCTGAGAGCTTCGCCCTTCGGAGGACTTCCACCCGCATGCGGTCCAATTCCGCGCGCCCTGAAGGCTCCCCGAGAGGGGGCGGCCAGACCATGGGCGCCGCCTCCCGCCTGTGCGCCGTCGCCGCGCTCGCCGCGCTGGCTCTCCGCAGCAGCCTGACGTTCGTGGCGCCCAGCACCGCAGGGCGCCGCAGGCCTTCGAACACGGCGGCCAAGTACACCACGCAGACCATTTGAGGGCGGAAAAATGAGAATGAGCGTAAATTGTCGAAGCTCCGCGCGGAATTCTCGCGTCGCCGCCTGGGCGCCCCTGACGGCGCCTCCGGCGCCGCCCCTGGCGCGCCCCGGGCGCGCCAGGACGGGGGGGCCCAGCACGGACCCAAGAAATCCGCGCGGAGTTCTGAAAGTTTCTGTTCTTTGCAGTTTTCCTTTTCTCTACCATCCTGCCCGCACTCGCGTGGATCAAGACCGGCTTCAGGGAGAGCGATCTTGCCCCGACCGAGCTGAGGGCGATCAACCTGGGCGGCGTTGACGTGTTGGTGGGCAAGACGGAGGGCGGCAAGCTCTTCTGCGTGGGCAACTTGTGCCCTCACCTCGGCACTCCGATGAGTGAGGGCGCCGACGTCATCGGCGACACCATCGTGTGCCCGCTGCACGGCTCGTCGTGGAAGGTCGGCGACGGTGAGCTTATCGATTGGTGCCCGAGCCCGCCCATCATCGGCCCTCTCACTGGCCTTGTGATCGAGAAGAAGAAGCTCGCGATCTTCGAGGCGCGCTCGGGCTTCTTCGGTGGCGACATCGAGGTGCAGGTGGACACTAACGCGAAGAAGGCCTACGAGGCGGACTACTGGAAGGGGATCCTCGACGCCCAGGGCAAGAACGACGGCACCTACTACTGAGGCGTAGCGCCTTGCTTGCTGGGGTCAGGGTGCCGAGGACGCGAGTCGCGTCACGATTTTTCGAGTGAGCCTGCACATTTGTATGAGCAGTTACCTACCGACACGGGCATGTGGCCCCCCTGCGGTGGGAAGTTGGCAGGTGGATACGGTTTGCCCCTCGTCCTTTTATGCATCGCCGTTGTTATCATCCTCGTCCTCCTCGCTCTCATGTTTCCCCTGCCCCCTTCCATCTCTTACATCGCCTCGCCTTGCCTCCACTCCTCCCATCCATCTTACCCATCCTCCCTTCCTTTGTCCATTCCATCTTCCTCCCCCTCCCCATTTCCTCCCCGTCCTTGCCCGTCCTCCTCATCTACTCTTCCGCCCTCCTTTCCTCTCTCCTCTCCTCTCCTATGTTTCCCTGCCCTTCCTCCTCCGCCCCCCGTCGCCTTCCCACCTCAAACATGTCCTTCCCTTCCCTGGTTTCCCCTCTATCCCTGCCTTCTCTCTCCCTCGTCCCATCCCAAGCCCACGGTTTCGATGCCGCTTTCACAGCACATAGGCTCATCGTCCCGCTCGAGTGCGCGCCAGCTTTAGCGTCCCTGTAATGCTACAGCTCCCGGGAGGTCGAACTGATCCTTGGCCTTGGTATTTCATAGCTTGAGTGAAAGTCCGTCCGACTCCGGCCCACTCAAGCCAGCTTTGGCACAATCCAGGACCGAGTCCGACCGAAAGGCTCCACACGCCAGCTCAGTGTGGGATGGTGGTTCCGAAAGTCTTGGGGGCCGGGTCGTCCTGCAGCAGCGCCATGGGCGATGATCATTTTCTTCCGAGGGATGGGTGAACCCCCACCCCGCCAAGTCGAGTCACGAATCCGCATTTCGGGGCCTTTTTTGTGTCTTGTCGGGAGGGTATCCCAGCCGCCAGTTGTTTCGGGGCTGCTCCAAGCTGCTTTACACCAGCGGTGTTCTGCTAAAGGGTTTCGCGCAACCCCGAATATCGGGTTCAAGACCTGCTCGCGGGCGTCGTCCTCATTGAGATCATTTGATCGCCCTCCCCAATTGTTTTTTCTCGGCGGCGCACCATATCGTACATCGACCCTGAAAACCATGCGTTTTGTTCGTAATCGCCATCCTTCAATTCAGTTTCTCTTACCGCTAATACCTTCAAGGAGCTATCGCATGGCTTCCGCCCGTCTCGACTGCGTCCCTCCCCCGCGTCAGCCCCTGGCCCCTTGCCGTCCCGTTTGCGGCTGGTGCCCCCGGCACCGTGGCGAGGTTGCGGCCACCCGATCCAGTGGGCGGCCGCGCTGCTCCGCTGTCCAGCATGGCTCCAGGCGCGCGTCGCCAGGGGCATGAGACGAATGTGGAGGGATTGTGGGCGCATTTTTTTCCCAGGGGAGTCTGAGGGGTGTAGGATAAGGAGGAGGAGGAGGAGGAGGGGGAGGCGAAAGAGGAGGAGGATGAGGATGCTGTGGAGTGGGAAGCGCAGGAGAGGAGTACCGGTGTGTGCGAAATAAACGACCGTGGCACGCGGAGCGCGCCAGACGGTTCACAGTTGCCTCCACATGACAACCAGATCATCGCACAGCCATCGCACGCACGACATCGTTCGGTTCACAGTTGCCTCCACATCACAACCAGATCATCGCACAGCAATCACACGCACGACATCGTTCGATTCACATGCCAACATCATCGCATCACAGCCTTTGCACGCACATCTTGGCAAGGAAGATGGTTTGAAGTCTCCCTCACCGCGGCTGGCAAAACATATCACAGCCTCTGCACGCACGTCTTCGCCAGGGAGATGTTTTCATGTCTGCCTCACTGGGCCTGCCCGAATCATATCACAGCCTCTGCACGCAAGGTCTCGCAAAGAAGATGTGGTCGCTTCTTTGTCGCCGGGCCTATCCCTCCCCCCTCCCTCGCCCGCCGCCCCACCCTCCCATCCTCCAGCCTCCAATTCAAAATCGTCCGCACTCGTCCGCAATCCTCCCGCCGGAGGCCTCCAGCACTAGTCCCCAGACGCCTCCGCTCGAATTTGATATCCTCCGCACTCGTCCGCACTCCTCCCGGAAGCCTCTGGGAGGCAGTCCAGAGGCCTCCGCTGGAATTTGACATCCTCCGCATTCGTCCGCACTCCGCCCGAAAGCCTCCGGAGGCACTCCCCAGAGGCCTCCGCTTGAATTTGAAATCCTCCGCATTCGTCCGCACTCCTCCTGGAGGCCTCTGGAGGTGCTCCCCAGAGGCCTCCGCTCGAATTTGAAATCCTCCGCAGTCGTCCGCACTCCGCCCGAAAGCCTCTGGAGATACTCCCCAGAGGCACTCCTTCGCACTCCATTTGAAAATCATCCTCGTTCCTTCTCCTCGTCGCCCCTCCTCCTCCTCCATCCTCCTCATTCCTCCTTTTCCTCCCTCCTCCCTCCCTTCCTCCTTCCTTCCCTTCCCCCCCTTCCCCTCCGAAGTGCAGAGTTGTTCCTCCTTTCCTCCTCCTCCTCCTCCTTCCTCCTCCTCCTCCTCCTCTTCGTCCTCCTCCTCCTGATTCCTCATTCCTCATTCCTCATTCCTCATTCCTCCTCCTCCCCTTCACCCTCCTCTTCCTCCCCCCTCCTCCCCCACTGCCTCCCTCCCCCCTTCCCTCCCCCTTCCCTCCCCCTTTCCCTCCCCCCCCTCCCCCCCGAAGTGCAAAGCTGTTCCTCCCTCCTCGTCCTCCTCCTCGTCGTTGTCGTCGTCCTCCTCCTCCTCCTCCTCCTCCTCCTCCTGCCTCCTCCACCTTCCCTCCCTGCCTCCCTCTTTCCCTCCCCCCCCTCCCCCCCGAAGTGCAAAGCTGACTCGTGGGCCGGGCAGGTCGGCGCTTCCGCCTCCACCCAGCTTTGCTCCATGGGGGGGGGGGAGGGCGAACACGGTTTTTGGGCTGTAACAGATGAATGCGAAAATGTGGCCCCATGTGCGGGCGAATCTCACGGGACCGAGAATGTGGCCTCACGCGCGGGCGAAGATAATGGAAACGATACAGTGGCCTCACGCGCGGGCGAAGATAATGGACACTCCGCCGTTCCAGGAGGAACCTGTTTGAGCGTAGGGCGAAGATAATGGAAACGATATAGTGGCCTCACGCGCGGGCGAAGATAATGGACACTCCGCCGTTCCAGGGGGACCCTGTTTGAGCGTATTCTGGCCCCGCGCCCGTTTCGCGGCGCACCCCTCACACGTTTCGTACGACACGCACGATCATTACTTCTACTGCAGAACGCCATTACCTCATCATATCGACGGATGGTCGTTTTTTACGCACGCCCCGGTATTAGTAGAGGAGGAAGATGAGGACCAGTGTCAACCAAAGACTCTTGAACGATGTTGAAATACACCCTCCCTCCAAGATCCCTCTTCATAGGCCCCTACAAGGGGTCATTTCCACTGAGGGAATTGCCCCGTTGGGGACAAACGTGCGAACACATCTTGAAGCGCGCCAAGATACAATTCTCGGAACTTCAAAGCCACGAGTTAGCCTGACTCTTACGTCTTGGCGATCGTGAGTCGTGCCAGGAAGCCATTCCTAGGACTTCAACACCACGAATCAAAAGTAACTGCTGCGCCCTGACAGTCCTGAATCGTTCCAGATCGCCGCTTCTGGTACGTAAACCATGAAAATCAGCGACACCCTTGCGAATGTTCAAAACGAGAGCGCGCGGCGCTAAGGCGAAAACTCAATTGGAACACGACGCGCCCTCGATCCGTGAAGCTCCTGCAAATGTTTAGAACACATGTGCGCGGCGCTAAAGCGGGAGCCACGGTTCGAAAAGGAACCGCTCTCAGTCCGTGGAATTCTCGCAAATGGTTGAAACGAATGTGCGCGGCGCTAAGGCGAGAGCCACATTTTGAAAACGAGCCGCCCTACATCTGCAAAACTGTCGTCAACGTGAAAGCATTAGGGTCATAAGTGATGAGGGAGTCTCAGGCGAAACGCTTGGCCCGCCCTTTCGACAAGCCTCGGGGTGCGACAGGGAGGAGTCATCTATAAGGAGAAGGCATGGAGGAGGAGGAGGAGGAGGAGGAGGGAGCAGGAAGAGAGGCGGGTTGTGTCTGATGGTTCTGAGATGCGCCGAAGAGAGGAGAGGTGTCAGCAGCGACGGCATCCTGGGATAGATGTGATACGCCGGTCAGTACAATGGGTAGGCGTAAACGCTATGCCTGCGGGTTGCCACGACGGCAAGCTCATCCGGGCGACGATCAGTTGGCAAAGAGCTAATTGCGCGAGGTGCAGCGGATGCGAGGGAGCCGCCGAGGGACGAAGGGATGGAGGCACGTGAGCGGGAGATAACGAGGCAACCATAGCCTTCGCCCAGTAGTCTACCCAGACATGCCTTGCCGTCTCATGGTGGTCGCTGTATGGAGGCGTGCCGCTGCCCGATGTCATGAAGGGGATCACAGCCCGATGTCACGAGGGGGATTACACTGCCTCGAAAGGAACCGTCCGACCACAATGCCCTCCTGCTGTACGGTACCACTTCTTTGCAGAATGAATGCCAACTCTCCCTGCTCTCCCAAACATCACAGGGCGCCCCAAATCCACCCGAATCGCCGGAAGGCCGGTCCTCGATCGAAGACGACGACGACGAAAGCTGCATTGATTTCGCAGCCCGTCTTCGCTGGAAGCTGGACGCACGTGATGAGGCCAGCCCTGGGCTACAGCTGCGTACATACGTGGCCGGATGCCTTGCCAGCGCTCGGCCCTCGCGTGGCTGGGCCCGCCATCGGATGGGACCTAGGACGAGGGTAAATCCGTTCCAGACCCGGGACGCTTTCGGAGCGTTCCAGAACGCGTTGAGAAGGCCGCGGCGCCCGAAACATCCTTCAGAACCGCTGGGTCTCAGAGATTTCCGATGTATCCTCGTCCAAATCTATCCTCGTCCTGGCTTCGTCTTGCGCTAATTAGCCATCCGCACGTGCTTTCAGCAGATATCCTGCATCGGAGGTTGGGGGGGGTGTGAGCGGAAGTGACCCCAACCAGGAAATCTGTTTCAGGCGAAGGCGCGCGAGTTCTTGCACTGGTAGAGGCCACATGGAGCCCAAAGGGCCGCCCGTCCCCCCCCCCCGGCCACGCGGGCCTCGCCGATGGTTGTCCCGCGGGTTGTCCCGATGGTTGTCCCGATGGTTGTCTCGATGGTTGTGCCGATGGTTGTCCCGATGGGTGTCCCGATTGTTGGTAGTTGGATAGGTACCAGGTAGACTGATTGATGTATCGACTCGATAGACAGATAGGTCGATATATTGATGGATAGACAGTAACATGGGGAAGCAGGTATATATAGAGATACGTATATACATATATATATATATATATATATACTAATATATTAATCGGATAGAAACAAGCGGAAGTAGGTGGTATTCGCCCGTGCAGTCTTTGGTGGCGGTAGGTGGGAGTCATCGCGCATCGACCGCATCCCCCTCCCCCCCAACCTCTTTATCACCCGTAGGGTGGTTCTATCGTTCTATCGGTATATCCGTAAGGGTTTCGCCCCCTGCCGCCAGCCCCCCCTCTCTCGGATAACGGACAATGCAAGAGCGAAATCATGAGGCTTTGGCGCCGTCGTGAAGCAGAGTCGGGACTTCACGCGAAGACGATGAATAATCGGCAAGACAAATTGAGATTGTGATGACATGGTTGAATTCGGTGTTGCATTTCGATGGTTTATGGCTTCGGATACGCTAATAGCGCGTAATGTGCGAGGGTTTATGGCTTCGTGCTCGCAGCAATAATGTCATTTACGCAGGTTTATGGCTCCAGAGACGCGAATATGGAATAATGTGCGAGAGTTGTATGGCTTCGGACACGCGATCATTGCGTAATTTACGAGGGTTCTGGCTTCGGGGCCACAAGCATTGCGTCATTTACGCAGGTGTATGGCTTCGGAGACGCAAATACTGTGTGATTCACGACGGTGTGTGACTTTTGGGACGCGATTGCTGTATTATTTACAAGCGTTTGTGGCCTCGGGGACGCAAGCATTACGTAATTTACGATGGTTTATGGTTTCGGGGGCACGAATATCGCGTATGTTGAGAGGGTTTATGGCTTCGGGGACACGAATATTCCTATTTATATATTTTTACAGGGCCGGGGACCCCGGAAAAGCGGCACACGGTGCCCCCCCCCGCCCCCCCCCTACGAATTTCGGTTTCCCCGAGCTTTTGGGGCGCTCCTGCAGAGTGCTTCGTGTCTGTCCTGCGATTGCGACGCGAAACAAAAAACCCACGACGGCCAAAGAGGGCCCCGAGACACCCAAAGATCGGCCCAAGACGCCCAATCTGAGCCCAAGACTGCCCAAGACGCGTCCAAGACGCCCCCAGAGACCCCCAAGAGGCCTCCCAAGAGAGCCCCTAGAGGCTACAATTGTTAATTGTCCTGTGTTTTTCGATGTTTGTGGCCTTCTCGCTGTTCCCGCTTCCCGACGCTCCACAATGGCCCAAGAGGCTCCCTAGATCGCCCCAGTACTGCCCAAGAGGCCCCCAAGAAGGCCCCAACACGGTCCAGGAGGGTTCCGAGACCGCCCGAGAGGCGCCCAAGACGGCCCAAGAGAGCACCAAGACGGCCCCAAGAGAGACCCAAGAGGGCGCCCAATAGTTCAAAAACTAAATTTTCCGCCGCGAGAGGGCCCCAAGAGGCCCGGAGAGAGCCCCATGAGGCCCCAAGAGGCTACCAAGAGGCTCCCAAGAGGCCCCAAGAGGCCCCCAAGAGGCCCCACAAAGATCCCAAGAACCCCAAAACACCCCCAAGACGCTTCAAAACTGCCTCCCAGAGGGCCCCGGGAGGCGCACCACGAGATCCCAGCACAGCGGTCTCCCCCTCTCATTATCCCTTCTCTTTGTCGTCGCCTTCTTCGTCGTCGTCGTTGTCGTATCCAATGGCGCAGCGAGGCCATTTTCCGTTCAAACCACCGAAGGACCCAAGAGCTCCTCCTGAGCCTCATCCTCTTCCTCATTCTCTTCCTCCTCTACCTCCTCCTCCTCCTTCTCCTACTTCCCCGTGATGTTTCACGTTCCGCCCCGCCAAAGGTCCAGCAGAGGCAGCTCTCCTCACTCTCCCAAGTCTCTGCTGCGGATTCCTTCCGCGACACCTCGGCTGTACCCCAGATATCCACATAATCTGTCCTCTTCATCCTCTTCCTCCTCCTCCTTCTCCTCATCCTTTTCATGTTCCTCCTCCCGCCTCGACTGAGCTTCTCGCAACACTCAATGCAAACCGTCGGGGCCACGACGCCATCTCATCCGGGCGCGCTGTTGGGGGCCGGGGCTTCTGTGACATTTCGGAGATCAGGCCGTCGGGAACTTTCGGTTTCAGCATGCATCCTGGGGAAACACTCCCTGGGGACTCACGGCCGCGCGAACACTTGCAATGTCCTCCTCCTCTTCTTCCTCCTCCTCCTCCTTTGCTTGACTCGCAGAGAGTCCGAGCGGCGCCGCGCCGCGCCGCCAGGGGCGGGGGGAATGGGCAAAAAAAGAAGAGGAGAGGGGGGGGAGGGAGATGAGTAGGAACAGGAGGAGGAGGAGGAGGGGGGGGAGGGGGAGGAGGAGGAAAAGAAAAGGGGAGGGAGGAAGAAAAGATAACGGAAAGTAGTCTAATCAAACTCGCCAGAAAAATGCTCGCAACTCCGACCTCAGAGGCGCCTTGCTTCGCATCGGTCCCGCCGTTTTCGCTCGAGACATCATTGCAGCTCTGGGGCCCGAGACGCTCTCAGTTGAGATGTTCCAGCCGCCGTCGCCTGAGACACTCTCGCAAGTCTCACTTCGGAGGTGCCTTGCGCCATGGTGGTTCGGCCACTTTCGCGCGCGACTTCTCGCAACTCTAAGTTCAAGGATGCCCTGGGCAGAGGTGTTCAGGCCGCTCCTCGCTTGAAACTTCCTCGCGCGGCTGACTTCGGATATGCCCTCCCCTGAGCGGAGGTGTTTAGGCCATTTTCACCCGGGGCGCCCTCGCAACACTGACCTCGGCGACGCATTGCCCCGCGGTAGTCTGGCCAGGTTTGCCTGAGACCCTCGCGCCTTTTAGTGGCGCGATGATACGAACAACTGGTCAGGCCACTACCGCCTGATATACGCATGTGTATGCGCACACTTAGTTACGCTGACAATTTGCATATACATGTACATACCCTATACAAACGTGTATATATACATATATATATATATGTACATATGTACTATGCGTCCATAGACGCATGTGCGCGCATGTACGCACGCTCGCACTTCGTTAGCGTGCGACATCCAAAGGACCAAGGTGCATGGCGCGCAGCGCCAATGCAGTCTCGCACATCTATATATATGTATATATATATATATATATATATATATATATATATGTGTGTGTGTGTGTGTGTGAAATAAGCCACGAGGGTCAAAACCCTCGGCGACGTGAATTTTGTGTAATATGCGAGGGTTTATGGCCTCGGGGGCGCGAAATTCATTTATTTTTACGCGCCCCACGCCCCCCCCCCCCCACCCCGGAATTCAGAGCACCCGATTCGGGCGTGGTAACTGGGTTCCTTCTCGCCCCCCCCCCCTCGCGCGGTCCATCAACAAGGAACAGTCAGCAGCAAAAAGCAGAATTGTAACAGTGGGGTCTGGAAACTGGAGCTGGTGCAGGGAACGGCAAACCTTGTTTCTACAGCCTGGTAGCCCCACAAGGGGGCCGGCGGATTATGGCGCGCTTGAGGCAGGGCCGCGCCGCCGGCGGAGGCCAGCGAACCGACCCTGCCCCAGCCGTCGAGCCTGGCCGCGCCGCAGGCTGAAGCACTTGCCCAGGGTCTGGATGAAGAGCACCCGCTGCGCGAAAATCCGCAGGGCGACCAGCGTGAGCATCTTCATGAGGAACCCTCCGGACAATGGGGAACGTCGTGGAGATCGTTTGCATGAGCAGAGGCAGCACAAAGGAAGCAAAAACGATGTAGGAGGCCGCCGAAAGGGAAAAGTTGAAAACCGCTCGAAGGTCATGGAAGTGTGTGATTCGCCAGCTGAGTCCCGATGTCCGTCATCAACTACGGAGAATCGGTCGACAAGTTGTGACAAAAAGGTATGTCAACCCTAGAATCGCCGCGACATTCTGCACGTGAGCGCTGGTGCCCTGCAGCAAAATGAGATGGCATGCGATTTTGTTGGGATGGCTACCGATGCGCACCCTGCGCGGTCTGCCAGCTTGCAACTGCTCCCGCGTCCACTGGAGGCGCGCTGCAGACACCGTCCACTGTGGAGCCGAAGGGGCGAATGGGGGAAGCGGCGCGCGCCGCTCAATGGCCCATGAGGCATGCAAAAGTTCGCCCCGAGGTAACTTTCCTCCCCCTCCTCCTCGCCGTCCCCCTCGCCATCCTCCTCTTCGTCGTCCTCCTCCTCCTCCTCATCCACCTCTTCCTCCGCCACTTGCTCCTCTTCCTCGATCTCATCCTTGGCTTCCTGGGCAGCAGGAGAGAGCCAGGTCGCCCCCAGGGGCGCGAAGACCCCCCCCGCCCTGGGGCACCTTTCCGACGGCCTTCCGGACCTCCCCGGCCAGCCGTTCACCTTCTTCTGGACACCGCGGAGGCCCCAGAAGCCTCGCAGCGATCCGCCCTCAGCTCGTGTACCGTAATTTATATATTTATACATATAAATTCACTTATATATACATAAACATATTTATATGCATACACGTATATACAGGGCTGCACTGACGCTTGCGCCATGATCCCAGACTCCTCGGTATTGGCATGCACTCGGGGTGGTAGAGAGGTAGATAAGTAGACGTAGCGAGAATTCCTGGTTATCGTTGTTGCTGCCGACGTTGTCATATGATAAACCCTTCTCCGTCCCTCATATTTCCTCTTTTCGATCTCGCCCGACGTTGCGATCCCCTCCCCTTCCTCAGCCTTTTGTTTTGCGGAGGTTCTGCTGGGAGAGCCGTTCGGGAGCCTCACGAGAGCTTTTCGTCTTGGGGGCCTCATAGAAGCCTCGTGGATGCCTATCGGGGGCCTCTGGGGGCTTTCTCGGGCCACGCTGCTGCGAACCACGGTCTCCCTCAACGACTGGGTCACGATCTTGAGTGCTTCGGGGGGCGTTTCGGGGCCATTTTAAGCCGTCATGGGGCTCTGTTCGGGCCACCTCTGGCCCGTGTTGTGCCGTCTTAGGGCTCTCTTGGACTCTCTGGAAGGCCTCATGGCGTAATTTTTGAACGATGCGCGTGACTTCCTAGGCGGTCTCGGACACCAGGAAAACCGAGGAACCGAGTCACGATGACCATGCTATCGGCGCTGGTATGTCCTTGGTCAAAAACTTGCCCAAGCTGACGATATCCCGCGTTGTTCCCCTGAATCCCGCTTAATGTGGCCCGGTCCGGGTAAATCTGTGGCGTAATCTAGGCCCACTTGGCTCAGTGTCGTCCTGACTGAGCCTATCAGCCCCTGCTTCTCTGTACGGAAACCTCCCAAAGCTGCCCCCGAATTCCTCCCACCCGCCCCCGTCTTTCGTGGGTGAAATTCAGATTCGTGTCCGCGGCCTCGCGGGCAAGGCCCTTGGGCCGCGACCCCGCGGATACTCCGCCCTCGCGCGGAACGTATCCGTTCGAATGCGCAGCATCCGCGGGATCGCGCCCGAGTGCCCAGACCGCGAGGGCATGGATATGGATACGTTCGCCGATCGTGAAGGAGGAGAGAGGTGGGCTGGGCTTGGCTTGGCGCGCGGCCGCTTGCCCTCTGACGAGGGCTTCGGTCATCATCATCATTGTCACTCCTTCTCTCCCCTGGCCCCCTACCTCCCCTGCCTCTGATTACTCCCTCCCCCGGCCTCCTTTTGCTATCTTCCTTCCTCCCCACATCCCCTGGTGTTTCCTGGCCGCCGAGCAGGGCGGGATAGACATACTGTCACACTTGTGGTTGAGCTTTCAGCCTCCATGCCTGTGGCCCTCCAAGGGGGGAGCCCCAGACGGCGCTGCCGGGCATGATGGCGCCTCCTCCCGCCGATCCGATCCGATCCGTCCCCCCCCCCCTTGCGCAGCCCGCTGCTGCTGCTGCCTTCGAGGCGGGCGGCACGAAGGGCGCCGCCGCCCCCCCCCCCCGCCGACCAGGCCCGCCGGACGGCCGCGCGCCACGGGCGCCGGCCCAGCGGCAGCGGGACGCGGCCGCGCACGGCGGCGCGCCCACAGGCCCGCGAGGCCCCCGGGAGTCGGCGGCGGGGGTCGCCCTCTTGGGGGGGGTCGCCGGCTCCGCTCGGAGCCAGCTGGGGCGGTCCGAGGTGGCCCAGCATTGAGCCCCGGCCAGCAGGATCGGACGGGGGTTGGGATGCGGGTCGAGGTGATGGGGGAGTTGCTTTTTTGTATTGTTTTGCCTTGTGCGGCATCAGGGGGCCGGCGTCAGGACCGTCAAAAACGGATCCGGGGCGAAAGTTCTGCACCAGATGGACCCCTGGAGGGGTCTGGGGACCGATTTTGAACGGATTTGCCAGTACCCTTAGGTCGGGTTTGCCCCCGGCAGGCGGATTTTGAAGGAAAAATGAAACATAGTCCAGAAATAATCAAAAAGAGCCAACATATACTAAAAACAAGTCGCCCCCATACCCCCATATTATTTTTGGACTGTTTTTGAATATTCCTCCTGTAGAGGGACATGCCCGATTTAACAGTACCCCTCCCTTCTTGACCGATTTTCTCGGGCCCATCCAGTTCAGACCCTCCCGCCGCCTCCAACGCCAGCTCCTCCTGGAAATCGAGGATCGAGGAGGATTCAGGAGGATCGAGGATCCATTAGGTGTTGGGCCTCCGACGCCAGCGCCTCCTGGAAGTCGAGGATCGGGGGGGAGATCGAGGAGAGTCGAGGATCGATTTGGTGTTAGGCGTAAGTTTGGCGCGTGGAACAGCCGTGGGGGGCGGGGGGTGCCCGTCTCGAGAAGGTGGCGACCCGCCTGGTGGCGACCCCGCTTGGCATTGCCCGCAGGGGGCGTCGGGCACAACCTGGGAGGCGGACGCTTGTGCTGTGTGGTGCGAAGCTTCCACCGAGCACCGCGGACCTTGCTCCTCCTCCTCCTTCTCCTCCTTTTCCTTTTTCTCCTCCTCCTCCTCCTCCTCCTTCGCCAGCGCTCGGCCGGACAGAGGGGGCGTAAGACTGCCACGGATAGCGTCACCCCCAACGGCATCACACACGCACTGGAAGCGCAGGGTGCCAGCCCCCGAGCAGAGGGAGGGGGTCGGGACCAGGCAGAGACCTGAGCTCCGGGTGTCGCAGTTTCGTCACGCGGGGCCCCTCTCGGGAAGAGCCGGCGCGAGCTGTGCGCATTGAGTCTGAGGTGCAAATCTGCACGAACGAAATGGGCACGGAAAAAATGGGTACAATGCCCAGCAGCGGATCTGGTTCATTTTGAACAGGACTTGCTGTCCACGCCGCCGCGGCCTGTGTCCATTTGAGACAGAAGGCCGCCTGCCCAACAGCGGCCGCTGTTGGTTTGGGACAACATTTGTTGTTGGGCATTGTACCCATTTTTTCCGTACCCATTTCGGGTGTCCAAAGCGAAATGCAATGATAACGGTGACACGCATTTGCAGAAATTATTGTTTCCCCGTGAGGCCCGAGACGGCAGGCCGAGCACGAATGGCCAAGAGCCGCCCCGAACCCCAGAACTCCCAGGGCGTAGGTCGGCGGGAGACGGCGGGAATGACATCTGCGCCCCAACTTGATGTCAGTTTGGGGGACTCGAGGTCTCCAGAGCCAGCCATCAGCGCACAGGCCCGGTCAGGGCCGTGCGGGCCAGGGTCCAGCGAAGGGGCCTCCGCAGCATGATCCGCACGTGAACCCAGGGTATTGGTTTTGTGATCCTCTGGCGCGTCCTCTTCCTCCTCGTCCTTCTCCTCGAATCCTCCTGCAACGTCCTCTCCTCCTCCTCCTCCTGCTCCTCCTCCTTCTCTTCCTCCTCCTCCTCCTCCTCCTCATCCTCCTCCTCCTCTTTCTAGAGGATCGGAACGCGGGGGGAGTGGTGACCTCCCTGTCTTCGGAACTCTGTGACTGCTTCGACTCGATCGCTCCGATTACGGTCGTTCCTGGGCGAGTGTTACTTGTCCATTGTCGGGGACCTCGAGGCGACTTGGTAGTGGTCAATGTACATCTGCCTAACACGTGCGATGACGTTCGTATCTATCATCAGTACTTACGCCTCATCAGTGCCGCTCTTCTGCGGCAGCGCATACCATGTTTTTCATTTTGGGAGACTGGAACTTTTGTACGATGGAGGATGGTAGGTCTCTTGTATCTGGTGAGGTTGGGCCTGGGGACCGTTTGCAATGTGATGCTTTTCGGGAGCATTGTAGCCACTGGTGTGAATTGTACCAACCCGACCCGACCAGAAGGGATATTGTGAATCGGGAACTGAGGGGGCTGGCCAGGTTAGATCGGATTTACACGACCCTTCCTGCAGGTATTCTCAATGAGATGACGGTTGTTGTCAACGTTGTCGGCACCCTCATGCATCCAGGGGCCTCCTCCGATCACATTCCCGTGACTGCCACGGTTTCCCTCCCGACCCCGAAGGGTCGTTTCTCGGTTCCGAAATGGATCAGCCAGCATGCCGACTACCACAGAATGGTTTCCGAACAGCTTCGGGAGTTGACGCTCCCATCGGACCCCGCCCAGAAACTCGCGAGGGTGAAAGAAGTTTTTGGTACGGCAGCTGTGGAATTTAAGAAGGCCCTGAAGTGTCGACCAGCGGGCAACGATGCGGAACGGCTCCACTTTGCGTTCATGGCATACCGTGGGTGGAGGGGTCGGCAGTGGTATCTCTGTCTTCGTGCCATCCGTTGCTACGCTTCTCTCCTGCCTTTCTTCGACGTCGACGGCGGTGTGTGCACTGATCCTGATGGCCTCCACAGTCTGGTACTAACCTTGAAGGGACGCTGGTTTGATGCGGAGTTGGAGGAGTTGGATCATAGTAACCAGGTGGAGGAGGTCAGGACCAAGAAGAGACGGAGGCTGGTGGCTCTTAGGCGCGGGTGGGGTCTCATGAGGAGGAGGACGGGGCTGCTGGGCGTTCTGGACGAGAGCGGGACCCCGTGTACCTCCCCAGAAGCGGTTTCTGCGGCACTGGTTGCCCATTGGAGTAAGGTCTTTGCCCAGGCGGATTATGACCCGACTCGTTGGGAAGACATACTGACCCACGTGCAGTCTATTGGCGACTGTACTCCTGCCCCACGGTGGAAACTGGACGCGGATGAATTTCGGGGCCGTGTCGGCCATAAATTTCATTCTGCTCCTGGCCCTGATGGGATCCCGTATGGTTGTTGGAAGGTCCCAGAGGCGACCGATGCGTTGTTCGAGGTTTACGAGGAGGTTTTCAACAGTGCAGGAGGTGCTCTCCCTCCTGAATGTCGGGTTAGCCGTATGGTGTTCCTCCCGAAGGGCAGCGACCCACGTGATCGCAGCGACTTTGTCTCTCGTGCACCTGCCTCCACCCGCCCGCTCTCCCTGGCGAATACGGATGCGAAGATACTCTCCGATGCCTTCTGTTTGGGACTCAATGACGTCGCTCCTGCGACGGCGGATGTCTCCCAGCGTGGTGGGGTTCGAGGGCGTAACATTCTTGACAATGTCGTTGAGGTTGAAAGATGGGGCCTTGTCCAACACATGTGTGGCAGGGATAAAGCGGGGGTACTGTTCACCGATTTCAAGGCGGCGTTCCCTTCGATCCGGGCCGAGTGGGTTTTTGCCGTTTTGGTGGCCATGGGGGTCCCTAGCGAGACCGTGGGTTTCTTGCAAGCCCTGTGCGCCAACAATACGGCCCTGGTCTGCTTTGAGGGCGCTGCCGAAACGGCTTCCCTGTTGAACGTGGCGTACGGCAGGGGGGTCCTGCGTCAATGACCCTCTTCGCTCTGGCCCTGGACCCCGTACTGCGCTGGATCCGTGCCCGCCGCGTGGAACGTGTAGGTGTCCAATTGGCGTGCGCTGACGACTGCTGCTTTGGATTATGTGACATTCTCATCGATGTCATGCCCACCTTGCTGCTTCTCGACTTGCTCTCTTCCGCGATTGGTCTCTCGTTGAATGTGGGGAAATGCTACGTCCTGATCTGCGGGGCGCTGAATGGAGATGCCCTCGCTGCCCACATGACTCGGGAAGGCAGCCGTTTCGCCTCAGTCCGTTTCGCCACCAGAGTTTTGTACCTCGGATTCTGGGTGGGCCCATCGGCCCATGAAGTTGCCTGGGTTGAAACGATGAATAAGTTCTGGCAGCGAGTTCGTCTTCTTCGCTCTCTCTCGCTGGGCTTGGCGACCACCATCCGCCTGTTCCACTCTAATTGCCCCTCCGTCTTGCAGTATCGGATACAGCTGGTGAGGGTCACCCCAGGGGTTCGGCGTCAGCATAGGGAAGCATTGCAGATACTCACAGCGGGACCTCGGCATGCATTGAACTACACTATGCTCACCCAGCTACGTGGCCTTGGGATCTCATTGGAATTCGTGGACCTGGGACTGTATGATCAAGCTGCGAAATTTCGGGTGGTAATGCGGTGCAAGGCATTAGACGATGCGCTTTACGAGTTAGATGGTTTAGCTTGTGGTTTGACCGACGATGAGTTTATTCCAGCCCGTATGTTTCTGGGTGGTGGTGCCATTCGATGATACGCACGACGAATGAGGATGCTGCGGACCTCGTGAACTCTCCCATTGATCGAACTACCCGTCTTATCCAGGCCAAGGTCCATAGGCACTTACGGTCGGTTCGTATGGCTGCCACTCCCTTCTCGTGTCTGAGTGCACGGGTATCGAGGTGGCTAGTTACAACAACTCTCGAGGACATGTTCCGCCTGAGGACTAGATTGCGCGCAGTGGAGCGTTGCGCGTGCACCCATCTGGCTACCAACGTTCTCCGCGCACTGTCCAGGGGCGTTTGTACTTCGGCACGTTCTCATGCGAATGACCGTGGGTGTTGCTTTGTGTGTGGGGCCCCTGATGACCTTCATCACTACAAAATCTGTGATCGATTCCGTGACCTGGCACTGCACCGTCTCCCTGGGTTGGAATCATTACCCACACCTTGGAGGGAGATGTTGGAACACCGAGATACTTGGTTTACCTGTCTGTGTCTGATGGGACCATCGTGGGGGCTCGACCGCGACGTGGCCTGCGCTGCCTTCCTCGATGCATTTCTGAAGACGCATGCCCATCATCGGCGC